AGCTAACAACTGTCTGTAACTCCAGTTCCAGGGGATCTGACAGTCTCCTCTGTCCTCCTCAGGCATTGCATGACACGGGTGCACTTACCTACGTGTAGGCAATACACACATACACATTAAAAAAAAAAAAAAAAAGACACAAAAGCTGGGTGTAGTAGGGCATGCCTTTAGTACCAGCACTCAGGAGGTAGAGGCAGGTAGATCGAGGCTGCCTGGTCTACACAGAGTTTCAGGCCAGCTAGGGCTACAGGAAAAAGGGAAGACGAGGCACAGCAGGAGCACATGCAGGCCTGGAGACCTCAAGGCTTTCTATCCACCTGTCCCCCATTGAGTCCCTGTGTAACTTTTGTGTACACACATGCCCTCTTGCAGGCAAAGACCAGCAACACTATGTGGGGCCCCTCTCGGGTGGCCAGCAAAGTACCCTCCACACACCATGGATGCAGTGGGCTATCTGGGCTGCTGGGTTGGCCACTTCCATGGTCCTTCTGGCCACTCATTTTTCTAAGCTTGTGGCCCAGACTGGACTCAGCTTTTACAAGGTTTGGGGTTGGGAAACAACTATAAGTCCCAAAGAGAAAACAGAAGCTTGATACCCCAACACCCCTCAAGAAAGTCAGGGAAAATCGGACACCAAAGATCTACCAGACACCATTAGTACTCAGAGTATCTTCTAGATTCATAGGACCATTCACAGTGCCCTGCTTCCCACCTCAGGCTAGCCTCAGATCCTTCTACCCACCCATCCATCTCCTGCTTAGAATGCAGGACCTAGTATCAGGACATGCACAGAGGGTTCATGGTCATTAACTCTTGTTCTCTATAGCATGGGGCAGACTGAAGGGAGACTCCTTGAGGAAATGATTCAGGGAAGGGAGGGGGAGTCGTGCAGGTGAGCAAGAGGCAGGGGCTGCAGCTAGGAGAGCTGCAGCTGGGCCCAAGTTAAGAGCTGCAGGCTGCAGGTGCAGAAGTAAACCCCAACACACATGCATGTCCAACACCACCTCTACAGCATCTGCTTAACTTGCCAGGAGACTCCCTTCCGATATAACCAAGCTGTATCCAGGGCCCTCTAGAGTGTAGCAGGGCAGAGAGACCACAGCCAGGAATGTCTAGGGAGCTAAGGAGACTGGCCAAGATAGAGCCAAGATGGAGCCTTGTTCTCACCCTTGGCAATTGAGCAATCCCATCCCAGAATAAAACTCTAGAATGTATAGCCAACATCCAGATAATGTCTACACGTTTCAATGCCAAGAGCCCTCACGGCCACCACCTGTGCACAGGCACTATGGTTATTCTAAGCTTGCAGATGGCTGAGACCAAACTCATTCCATCATTCACTGGAGTCCAGGAGCTAACAAAGGCATGAATTGCACCTGGCAACTTGCCTCATAACCACTGGAGAAGGGTCATGCATTTAGGGCATGGGACATATGTGACACAGTCTCTAGTTCCTTCTAGGCCATGTTGAGCACTCTTGGCTGCAGATACCACAGAATCCAGAGCTTGATCTGAACTCCCTTAAGGTGCTCAAGGTTGGGCCAAAGGCAGCCGCCTCCACCACCCTCTCCTTCCATTTCCCTCTGCTCTCTAGAGCTCTCCCAACTCATACCAGAGAGAGCCAGCATGGATGGGAAGTCCCAGCAGTTGGAAACTCCCAGAGAGTCGGTGGCACAGCTGTACCAGAGGTTCTCGAAGATGGTGTTGGTGGTGATGACATTCCCATGGACGGTGGACACCCGCCAGTAGCTGTTTGCCAGGGTCACCCCCAGCATCAGCAGTCCCAGGGCTGATGAGAAGAAGCCGAAGGTCTCCACAGCTACAGACATTCTGGGATACAGACCCCCCAAGGGGGCTGGCGCCCCAGGGACAGGGGTAGATGTGTCAACTCCAGGTGAACTCTGGGGGGCTTTGGCCCAGGAAGGATGTTGCCGTAGACTGAGGAGGGTGGAGGATGAAGGGTGGCCGGTCCAGCTGTGGTCTTCGTCTGCCTCCCTCTAGGGCTCAGGTTTGTCTGTCTCTGGTCTCTGGGCCGTTCAGTTTCTCCAGCAGGTCAGAGGAATGAGCCAAGCCTGCTCTGCTCAGCAGCTGTTGACGGTGATGGAGGGAATAAACGGGCCAAAAGTCCACTCCCTCCCCCAGCCTCCCGGCCTCCCCGCCCTAGGAGGGGGCGGTGAACTTACCCAGGAGACTAACGGATACAACCAAGGATCAGCCCCCAGGGGAGGTATCAGGAATCGGGGAAATGGCCCATCTGTGACTCAGCTGTCGCTGGGCCCAAGGAACTGAAGAAGAGGGACAAAGAGGAAAGAGAGGATAATTCCAACGGGCCTACCACAGCCTTCCGAGACAGATCAAGGGACATTGAAAACAGCTCAAGACACTGAAGACCCAGGGGTTGGGACTCTTCATTCTTCAAGGACCATACAGGTTGACTAAAGGGTGACCAGCCACTCTGGAATCCAGCCAACCTGGTTCCCACCATACTCCAGCATTTATCAAAGGGCCAACTGGGCTTGACGTTTTGGCTCTCAGCCTTGTTGACACACTATTGTATTGGCTTCCCAGGTTATAATGGGAACTGGGACCACAGATTACAGCTCCCCGGCAAACTCCAATTGCTTCAGTTCGGTGGTTGGTAATCGTCCCGGAACTGAGTGCTGCAGGGCTGAGGTCTGGCCTCCAGGGCAGCTATCCTCTAAACTTCCTGAACTGGAATTGCTCTCTCCCCAAGCTAACCTTTGACTTAGCTCGGCATTGAGTTTGATCTTGCAGCCAAGAGTCAGAGGGGTGGTGGTGGTGGATCATCACAAGCCTAGGGCATGAGCCTGGGTTTTAATCTCTGTCCCATCCACTTACTGGGAACTGTGACTAGCCCTATTAATTAATTATGATAAATGGAGGAAGCTCTTGAGTCCCCACTCTAGGCCTTGCGTGCACCTGTCTTACCACAGATTTCCTTCCTCTGGCTGCCTCCTGTTCTGTCCTAGTGAGTGCAGTGGCACTAGGATGCCTACCCCAGGGCAGGACATAGCTATGCCCCATTGTCCCTACCCTCCCTCCACTTTTCCTGTAGTTCTTCCTGCCCCGCCCCCCCAAGCAGGCCTGGCAGCGCCTGTGGAACGTGAGGTATGCAGGGAAGCCAAACAGGCCCACGCAGAGCCTGGCACAGGGGGAATGGGGTGAACTCTGTGAGGTGGGGCCCATCTCTCATCCCACAGGCTAGAACTGGGGCATCCAGCATCCCTCAGCTCTCCCACCAACCCCTACCAACTCCACACACCAGACAGGCTTCCTCTGTCACCATCACCCTCCATCACCTGTGTCCCTCTCTAAGGAGAAGGATGGAGTGTAGGAAGGGGAGGGGCAGGGAGACAAAGGGAGGGAAGGGCGGAGGTTTTTTGAGGAAGCCCAGTGGGGGCCCCCTGCAGTGGAAAACTCCCAGACAGCTGAGTGGGTCAGAGGAGAATGGGATTCATAAATCTCAGCCTGCTGTTCCCTACTCTCCCAGAATTCAGAGACCATGAAAAAGGCATGTCCCAGTGTGCCGTTTGGCCAGTGGCGTCAGGGGAGGGGAGGAAGGAAGGGTGTGGGTTGGGATGCTGGCAAAAGAAACTGGATGGGGTAGTGGGAGGCCACTGTGTACCCAGTGAACCCACCCCTCTCTCAACATAGACTCACAGACCTGGAGGTTCCCAAGCCACAGCCTAATTTTATTTACACTCATGTCAAAGTGTGTAACTTGGAGCTAAATAACAGGTCTTGGGGGGGGGATGAGAGGTGAAAGGTCATGGACGGTTGTAAGATGACGGGTGTGGGCAAAGAATGGGGAAGGGGCTGGTGAGGATGGATGGGACTCTCTTCTGGTGTTCCCTTCGAGCTCCCAGGTGCCCCAGGGCACAGCACAGGTGAGGCTTCCTTCAGGATTTGGACTTAGATACGGCCAGTCCGATGAGTCCCGCCAGTCCCGCCACTCCCAAGGCCATGCCACCAACGATAGCCATACCCACTAATCCATCTGGGGGAAGGAAAAGGGGGAGATGTCAGCAGCTCTGCCCCATCCCTCAGGACCTGACCACAGTCCACTCCACAAAAGACGGGTGCCTGTACCCAGAGTCTGGGGGCGGAGACACCAGGGTTGCAGAGTCCCTTGGAGGGTGGGGTGTGAGAAATGACTTTGGGGGTGGGGTTGTTCCCAAGGGCTCAGACATGCGGGAGGAGGGGCAGGACCCCACAAAGGAGAGTTTGTCACCTTTCTTCATGGCTTTGTCAATAAGGTGTTCCAGTTCCTTTGCCTGGTTGTTCTGGGGCTCAGTCTGCAGCAGACCACGCACATACTTTAGGGCCCTTTCATATTCCTGCAATCCAAGGGAAAGACACACCTCACATCATATCTTCCCAGCTGCCCTGATGCTAGCACCCCTTCTGCCCAGTGGAGGGGTACCCTTTACTGGCCCCAGCGCCTCCCCCACTCTCCAGCCCCACCCAATGGAGTAGAGTCCACAAACAGCCCAGCTGTGTGTGGGGGGGTGATAAGCCATGGGAGATAACAGCCCAGGTGTGGTGCTACATCCCAATCCTGACGTCACTGTGTTCCCACACCCTCAGCACTCTTGTTACTCTCATCTTCCCTGAGTCTTGTCCTGGGATCACCCTACACCCAGCACCCACCATCTCCTGGTTCACTACTTAGCTTTCTGATGGCAATTGCACTGCTTGGGTGGTAGGGGGTAGGGCAGAAGTGATCACACAAGACAGGGTGGGCTGGGAAGGAAGGAGCTTTGCCATGTTACCTTGAGCCTGTAGTTGCCCACTGCCAGGTAAAAGACATAATCCCGCTGTTCTTCTTTGCTCCCTTTGGGCAGCAGCTCTGGGGAGAGAAGAAAAGGGTGAAACGGCTTCTCTTTTCCTAACACTGTGTCCCACAGACCCTATACTCCCTGACTAGCACTAGGATCCTGAGAGGGTCACTGCCATGGGCTCCCATATCAGTTAAGATCACCCTCAGTTTTCCAATCATAGCCCTGGGAATGCCAGACAGCCAACGTGGACACCTGAAATGGACACCTGGAATCGGCATTCTAGCCTGTAGTGAGGGGCAGCCCTGTGGCATGCAGAAAATTCAAAAGGGACAGGTGCTTGCTTCTCACCCGCAGGGCCACCTCCTGTCCAGTTATTGTAAAGACATTTGCAGTCCTTCCTCTTTTTTACTATCTAGCTAAGGGTGGCCTTGAACTTCTGCTCCTCTTGTCTCTACCTCCTGAGTGGTCCCCTTCCACACCTGGCTTATGTGGAGCTGGGGATAGAACCCAGTGCTTTATGTATGATAGGCAAAGCATTCTACCAGCTGAGCTACATATCTAGTCCCATGCACTCCCTCCTCTTTAACCTTCCCTGAGTGGCCCCAACCTGACATTTTTTTTCTATTTCGTGTGCATGTCAGGAAGGTAGGAGTTGAGATAGTCTCATTATGTAGCCCAGGCTGGCCTCAAACTGAATGCTTGATCATCTTGTCTGTCACCTGAGTGCTGGGCACCAGAGTTCACTGCTAAACTATATATATATATATATATTA